GCAGAAAATGGTATTAAAGAAGCAATGTTTAATCTAGCCATATGTTATGAAAATGGAAAAGGAACAGAAAAGAATTTAGAAAAAGCCCTTTATTGGTATCAAAAAGCAGCAGAAAATGGCATTAAAGAAGCAATGTTTAATCTTTCCATACGTTATGAAAATGGAAAAGGAACAGAAAAGAATTTAGAAAAAGCATTTTGCTGGTATCAAAAAGCAGCAGAAGAAGATTATATTGAAGCAATGTTTAATCTAGCTATATGTTATGAAAATGGAAAAGGAACAGAAAAAAATTTAGAAAAAACCTTTAATTGGTACCAAAAAGCAGCAGAAAATGGTCATATTAAAGCAATGAATAGTTTAGCTATATGTTATGAAATTGGAGAAGGAACAGAAAAAATTTTAGAAAAAGCTTTTTATTGGTATCAAAAAGCAGCAGAAAATGGTGTTAAAGAAGCAATGTTTAATCTAGCCATATGTTATGGAAATGGAGAAGGAACAGAAAAGAATTTAGAAAAAGCCCTTTATTGGTATCAAAAAGCAGCAGAAAAAAATTATATTGAAGCAATGTATACTTTAGCTATATGTTATGAACTTGGAGAAGGTACTGAAAGAAATTTAGAAAAAGTCTTTTATTGGTATCAAAAAGCAGCAGAAGAAGATCACATTGGAGCAATGTTTAATTTAGCTGTATGTTATAAAAATGGAGAGGGAACAGAAAAGAATTTAGAAAAAGCATTTTGTTGGTATCAAAAAGCAGCAGAAAATAATGATAAAGAAGCAATGAATAGTTTGGCTGTATGTTATAAAAATAGAGAAGGAACAGAAAAGAATTTAGAAAAAGCATTTTATTGGTATCAAAAAGCAGCGAAAAACGATGACAAAGAAGCAATGAATAGTTTAGCCATATGTTATAAAAATGGAGAAGGAACAGAAAGGAATTTAGAAGAAGCATTTTATTGGTACCAAAAAGCAGCAGAAAATGGTGGTAAAGAAGCAATGAATAGTTTAGGTATATGTTATAAAAATGGAGAAGGAACAGAAAAGAATTTAAAAGAAGCATTTTATTGGTATCAACAAGCAGCAGAATATGGTTATACTGAAGCAATGATTAATTTGGCCAATAGTTACAATAATGGAGAAGGAATAGAAAAGAATTTTGAAAAGGCTTTTTATTGGCATCAAAAAGCTGCAGAAAATAACAAAATGAACCCTAAAAATGAAGCTGAATTATGTAATGAGTGCAAACAACCATATACTGATTACCAGTGGTGCCAACAATGTAATACTAAACAATTCCAACAAGATTTTTCAAAGTGGACTAGTAAAAATGAATTTATTGATAAATTTATTCAAGAAGCACAACTAAATGCTAAAAATAGTTATGAAATTTTAGAGTGGATACCTTATAATAAGTTGTCAAATATTAATTATTATGATAAAGGAGGATTCAGTGAAATTCATAAAGCTATCTGGTCAGATGGACCTATTTATAGTTGGAATTTTGACAAACAACAATGGAACAGACAAACAGATTATGAAGTTATTCTCAAATCACTTAATAATTCATCAGGTTTAAATAGCAAATTTCTGGATGAGGTATAGTATTTATATTTAATAGTTGAAAATTGCCTAAATATCACCGATGGATGATCATCACTGTACCAGAATTAGTGGGTGGAGTTTCATGAAATTTTTAATTCTGCCACCCTAATTTTGGTAAGGTAACAATCGCCAACGGTGATATTAGCAATACTCTATTTCTTTTTCAAAAATTTAATAATCTTTTTTATTATATATATATAGTGGAAATATCATTATAATTGTCAGAAGAAATCATTTTCAAAATTTACTCAATTTTTTGGAATTACCCAAGATCCGAAAAATTTAAATTATATAATAATAATGAGTTATGCAAAAAAAGGAAGTTTGAGAAAATGTTTATCTGATATAATTAAACTTAAGTGGCAAGAAAAGTTACAATTGTTGAAAAAAATTATATTAGGACTTAAAGTAATCCATGAATCAAATTTAACTCATGGTGATTTCCATGATGGTAATATTTTAATATCAGATAATTATGAGTTATTTATTATTGATTTAGGATTATGTAAACCTATAAGTGATTTACAATATTCTGATAATAAAGTGAATAAAATTTATGGAGTTTTACCTTATATGGCGCCCGAATTATTAAGAAAAAAAGCCTATACTACAGCAAGTGATATTTATAGCTTTTCAATGATAATGTGGGAATTTACATCAGGTATTCCTCCATTTAATTATAAAGCACATGATCATCACCTTACCTTGGATATTTGTAGTAGAGGGGAACGACCTGAAATTATAAAAACTACACCCAAGTGTTATATAGATTTAATGAAAAAATGTTGGGATTCAGATCCATCCAATAGACCAACCATAATAGTGCTTGAAATAATTATATCTGAATGGATTAGATGTATTAATAAATATTATGAGATAAACAAGGATGGTAATTATGAGTATGAAGTATCTGATATTGATAATCGATTAAAAAATGATATGTTGGAATTTGTAGAAGCAGACAAAGCTTTAGTGCAAGAACAAGCAGGTACTTCTATTATGCAATATCATTCACAAGCACATTATACAAGTCGCGGACTTAACGAAATTTTAGAAGAAGGGTCTCAAAGTCTTGATTGTATGATTGAAGATTAATATAAATTTTTTTATTCATTCTTCATTTATCAGTTATTATATAGAAACATTTTTACCATGTACTCTATTACAGCATTTACAATAAAGTAAAAAAGCATTATTGTGTAAATTATTGAAACAATGTTTATTTTCATTTGCAATTTTTTTTGAAAATTTAAGTTTAATACCCAAATCCATAATTTAAAATTTTACTGGTATTATTAATATTAAAATCATTATTTCTTATAAATTGTAGTGCAACTAAATTACTGAATCATTATCGTAAGTATCATTAATACTGGTCTTTCTGAACAACTTAGATTATTACTTCTATGATCTAATAAATTTAGTTGGCTAGTAGGCTTAGTTGAATATCAAAGAAAAAGGAAGGAAATATACATTTTTATAGCAAATATTGATTCATATTTCATATATATTCCAAATTTCACAATTTTGGAATGAACATAGTTGATTGTGATTCAACAGCATTTGCAGGAAGCTATTTTACTAAATGAAAGCTGTGGTATGAGGAGGAATTTAGGAAGTATTGAAATTTTGAAACGTGACTAGTGTGAGTTCAATGAGATGAATAATTTTTTAATGTGAAGTATAGACTTATTGGACTTTAGAATTAAAAAAAATAATTTCAAGTGCTTATTACTATTGCCACAAGGAATTTCAGTTCAATTATCTTGATAATACTACTTTTTTGATGAGATTTTGTTAACTAAAATGATGTTATTTGACTTAGCCATCAAACTATTCTTGATTGTCAATCACAAACTTAAGACATTTATTGATTTGTTTATGAACCAATTAAAATCTTTGTTAAACTTTAATAAATAATTAATAAGAAATTGACAAAGAACAAAACTAGATTTTTTATTCAATGGTCTTAAACTGTAAAATTTGAATTTAATATTTTGGAGGTCTGACAGAATTTGATTCATATAAAATTTTGTTTAATTAATATTATTTACCTAACTATTTTTTATAAGATTATTTAAATATAACTTGTCACTTTAACATTTTCGTCAAGGTATAAATATCATACAGCCAGAATTGGAAGTCTATAGAATAGATGTATACAAAGTATAAATGTATTGTGCGAATACTTGTGATGAATGATTTTGTATTTTGACATTAAGTTATGACTCAAAATATATATACAGGGGTAAATTATTACTATTTGCTGGAATTATAATAATCTCGGCCAGTTTCTAAAATGGTAAAAATTCTCGCCGGGATTACCTACAAAAGGAAAGAACAGCCCGATAATTTTTTATTAAATCCTTTAGGAGAATTACTAATAATCAACCAAAAAATTTTCACAATTTCACATATATAATATGAAATTTATAAATGCACAAAATGAATGTAACAACATATGAAATTCTGGGAAGTGAATGTTTAGATAGTATAGTTGATGATATAAACATGTTGTGTATATAATATATATTTAGCAAAAAAGTAGTTTTACAAATATTAAAATGTATGAAAACTCTTTAGTATATTTATTTATTTTATTTTTCGTAAAATTCATACACACTTAAAGCTAATTTTTTTCTAACAAAAGGTTTAAAATCATTTCTTTATCATTTTACAAACATCGAATAATCAATAATCATTTCATCATCAAATATGAATATGTATATAATTTGTTTGGAGTAATTTATTACTTATTAAGTTAATAATTGTTTTCTAGTAAGATTTTTTTTTAGTTTCCAGTAACACTAATACTAATAAAGTTAATTGTCTAAAAAAAATAGTATCTGCCGATCCAAATTTCTAAACGAATGAATCACGTTTCACGCAATTCAAAATTATTTATATGAGTAGTTAATTTTTTTTAGTAAAAATTTTTTTAGGAGTTTTTTATAAATTTGTTGGTTGAAATGTTTTTTATAGGTGGGTCTTTTTTTAATGGAGAATTTCATTTAGAAGTCTAGAAAATAATTTTTTTTAATGCAGTAATGTGAGTATTAAGCTTGAAGTTTATTTTTTTTAATAAAGAATTTTGTTAGAGATCTTTTTTTTATAGAAAATTTATTTATTAAATTTCACCGTATATCACTAGGGTGATGTTTTTCGCATCTTTTTAATTTCTTATCGAGAAAAACATTAAGAGGAACACTTTCGATGAGCTTTAAAAATAAAATAATATAAAGGTTACAAATAATTTTTTTAGATAGAACAGAATTAAGGACTAATATTCCTTTCTATTTTAGAATAAAAGATCGGTGAATTATCTAGTAATATTTTAAAATTATATGAATGTGTTTTTAATACCTAAAGTTGCTCTATATATAAAAAAATAAAAATTTATTCATTAACTTATAAATATCTTATAAACATGTCCGCCTATTATTATAGTTAGTGATCGATTAAATTTTTTTTTTTATTACGAAATTTTAAAATATACAACACCAAAAATATCAACAATTACTTTTGTAATTTCTTATATCAAATAATTTTTTAGACCTCGATTTTATTCATTATTAAAACAATAAATGAAGATATCTTTAGGTGAAGGCTTTTGATAATTTTCTGCTGTTACACAACTCTTCATTAATACAGTCAGTACATTATATTAATGATGTTATATTTTAATTATTTCGATTATTCATGCATAGACTTATTTATTTATTAAGTTTTGAATACGTCAAATTACTTTATATGGATTGAACTGACCAGCGTAAAATAGTTAAATCCAATATTTATCTTTGGTACAGCTTGATTTAACATTCTTTACATGTTAAAAATTCAGCTCTGAATCACAAGTTCCCAGATGAATTATCCTAAAAGAATTTATCTCTATTTGCCAAGATACACTGGTGGATCATATAATAGGTTTATACAACAGGATTATTTCTTTTCTTGTTTATATCCTAAAAAATTATAAATATCTTATACAAAAAAAGATCGTACGTACGCTATATAATTATGCAGATAATATTCGGGATTTTAACGACAAGTATTTTTATTATAAATCCAATATTGAAACTAAGCATTATTTGTCTATTAAACTTTTAACTCGTTGATCATCATATACTGTAGTTATCACTATATTGTATCACAAGTTCCAGCTTGATAATCAGTGTTACGTTAGCTCCTCATAATAATTTACCGGGTGGTCTAAACATGACACCACGTGACTGCAACGATTTTAAAATTTAAATATATAGAAGATTACGAATAATGTTACACACGGTGGCTTTGATTGTGCTACTATTGTGTTTGTATAACATTACCAAACTATTTAAGTCCACAAATAGAATTTTCATTGAATTTTTTTTTTACTAACGATTACTAGTAATATCAAAATGAATAACACAAACAAATGGGTGAATACGATTGAAGAAGCTATTTCTAGAGAATATTATAGACTTTATGAACAAAAACATTTTAGTAATATCCAAAAAGTTGGAACTGGAGGATTCGGAAAAGTTTATCGTGCGAGTTGGAAAAATTCTCAATATTTTGCGTTGAAATCTTTTTTTAATCTTGATGACGTCGATGACGTCATTGCAAAAGAAATCGTTCATGAGGTATGAAATTATGAGATAATCATCATAATAAACATTTTAATATTCATAATATGAAATTTTGTTCATTTAAAGTTTATAGTATTTATAATATTGATATTCTAGCTTAAACTTCAACGTGATATACAATTACATAATAACATTATTAAATTCTATGGAATTGCAAAATTTGATCCAGGTATAGTAAATTTATTAATATTTTTGTATGTTTAATATGTGATTTTTAAAATATATTTTAATAAAAAAAAATGATTATTTCTTTTTATTTTATTATTTATAATTAGAAAACCAAAATTCTCAATCAAATAATTATTTGCTACTAGTGATGGAGTATGCTGATTCTGGTCCTCTTAAAGATTATTTAAAGGAAAACTTCAATAATCTTACATGGAACGATAAATATAACTTTGCATACCAATTAGCCTGTGCCGTGTCATGTTTACATAATGAAGGAATAGTGCATCGTGATTTGGTAATTTATTTTATTAACTATAAAAGTATTGTTAGTATTATTGTAAAATTTTTTTTTCCATATTTTTTAATATCATAACGCATTTATAGCACTCGGGTAATGTATTGGTTCATCGAAATATTATCAAATTATCCGACTTTGGGTTGTCAAAGAGAATTGAATCATCATCCAACACACAATCAAAACTTTTTGGAATAATTCCTTACGTTGATCCAAAAAGATTTAATGGACAAAGAGAAAATCAAGCCTCAACACAAGTATTTTCGTTAAATGAAAAAAGTGATATCTATAGTGTTGGTGTATTATTCTGGGAGATATCTAGTGGCCGACCTCCTTTTTATTATAAAAGTGAACAGTATGATATTGATTTGGCTTTAGAAATTTCACAGGGTCTTAGAGAAGAACCCGCTCCCGATACACCTAAAGATTATGTTGAAATTTATACTGGTATGTAATATATTTATTTAGAAAATAAAATTTTCAACAAACTCTCATTATTACAATGTACTTTTTTTAGAATGTTGGAATGGTGAGCCAGATAAACGCCCAACCATAAATCAAGTAGTAGAAAGACTAAAGACAACTATGACAAAAACAAACACATTGATGGAAAATCATCAAACAATGTTAACATCAACAGTGGAACTAAATTTTAATCCAACTAATATTGATACTTTATCAAATATTGATAATTCATTACATGGGGAAATATCTCAAATTATACAAAATTTTGATAAAATGAACACAAGAGAAATAGTACCTACATCATTAACAAATGAAAATGAAAAAAATTTAAATAAAATAGTTAACAATACAATAAATTACATTTTCAAAATAATTAATGAAGGAAAAAAATCAACGATTGACAAAAATAATAAAGATATTCTTGATTATTTTGATAATAATATAAATTCACAAGAAATTTACTATTTATTATTAACTAATCAAAATAATTTAGATTTTATATTCTTACTTGGATATTTTAATTATTTAGGGATTGAAACAATTGAAGATGATAAGAAAGCATTTGATTTATTTATTAATGCATCAGGGAAAGGTCATATATTAGCACAATTTTATGCTGGATTGTGTTATGAAACTGGTCGTGGAACTGTAAAAGATGAAAAATTAGCTTTTATAAGTTACGAAAAAATTGCTAATATGGGTTATGCTTCAGGATTATCAAAGATTGGTTATTTCTATCGAAAGGGTTTTGGAACTATAGTTGATAAGCAAAAAGCAGTTGAATTTTATCAACAAGCAGCGAATTTAGGAAATGGTGATGCTCAAAATAATCTTGGCAATATGTATTATAAAGGAAAAGGAGTTTATAAAGATTATAACAAAGCCTTTGAATTATATCACAAGGCAGCAAATTTAGGAAATAGTAATGCTCAAAATAATCTTGGCAATATGTATTATATTGGAGCAAGTGTTGAAAAAAATTATGACAAAGCTTTTGAATTATATTACAAGGCAGCAAATGCGGGAGATAAGTATGCTCAACATAATCTTGCTCTTATGTACGAATACGGAAGGGGAAATGAAAAGGATATAAATCAAGCGATTTATTGGTATGAGAAATCTGCTAAACAAAAATTTACATACGCTCAAATTAAATTAAAAAAATTAAGAAAATTGATTTTTTTATTCGAAATGTAACTAAAAAGTACATGATAATTATTTTTTATTAATAGTATTTTATTTATCCTGTGCCTAAAAGGGGAAAATAGTGAATTATATTAACAATTGTAACCCAATAATATTTTCACTTATTAGATTCGTGATAATTTTAATAAAAACATTATTTTTACAATTATTTATCGCTTTTCTAAACGAAGATTTTCGGTCATTTATAAATTGCTAATCACTCGTAATTTTTAAAAATTAGTATGAAGGTGATCATGAGTGACACTTAGTGCGACAGGGGGTTATGTTTATAATTCCTGGCGACGATTACGTGAATATCTGAATCGACCTATTTACAAAATATTTTTAGATAATAAAAAAAATTCCAAAATTACAACATTGCTACATTTTAATAAGTTAAAAGAACATATGTAATGTATATGATGTAACACAGGATCTATAGAATATTCTTTTTTAACATAAAAGGTTGAAATTATAAAGATTTGTTAATTCTGATGATTTGAGGCTTTTAAAAATCTTTTCAATATATTAAGAAAATATTAAATAATGTGTTCATCAAATTGTAGTAAAGATGTTGATACTCTATGTACTCTATGTAGATTAATGAAGGAATTTTTAAGATGAAAGTTTGAAAGTTTGATTCATATCCTGAATTTTCATCCAAAAAAATAAATTTACCGAAAGAGGATTATATTTTGTATTTCAATTTAGAGATGACATAAATTATTTTGAGACCATACTATAACCTAAAGTTCAATCTTCATATATAAAACTGATTCATATTGTAATTTCCAAATTAAAAATTAATTTAGAAATAAGAATTACTATTTAATGAAAAATCTCTGTAAACCATTAAAATTGTTATTATTCTTTCTTCACTATTTAAAATATATAACTAAAAAAAAATTATTCTGATAAACTGATAAATTATAATTTGATTGGTCACATGTACAGTTTGTTCTGACATCATAAATGATTGAATCAATCCTAAGACTCAATCAAATGAATTTTTTTAATGTAATTATTAGGATTTTGGCTGTCAAGATTTTTCTGTCAGGGATTTGGGTTTATCGGGATCTTGGTGTCAGGATTGTAGAATGTCGGTGATATGTTGTCGGTAAATCCGTTCTGATAACCAATCTGAGAGATTTTCTAATGAAATTTTAATCGGATACTTTTTTTTTTGCTGGTAGATAATGCTAACGAAATAAAAAGTTTAATTTGACTTTTAATCATATTTCAGCAGCAGATCGCATAATTTGAAGCTATCCTTCAGTTTTTAGTTCAATACCAAAAAAAAAAATATCAGTTTTTTCATATTTTTTTTTAATTTTGGAGTAAAAATTTTTTTGTCTTTTTATTTATTGTTTTTTGGTTCAACCCGAAAAATAAATCTTTTTTAATTAGTTTTTTTTTTGTTGTTTATTAATTAAATAACAATTAATTGACGCAATTTTTTTTGTTGTCTCCTTCCTCTAACATAAGTTGTAGTAAATTTAATAATATAAAATAGAATATTTAATTATATTGATTATCATTTAGCCACATAGGTTCATATTATGCAGACATACAATAATCCATATATGATCATACGATAATTTAAGTAAGTAGAATAAAAAAATAAAACAATCACTTAAAATAAACTTATTTATACATTTATATAAACTTTAAACTTTTATATAATAAACTTTTTTTAAACTTTTACATATAATTTTTTTTTAAAACTAAAACTTTTATAACTCTCAATATGAACTAAAAAAAGCTAAACGATAACATGTAATTATAAGATACAGTATATTTCGCCATACTTCTTTCATATACTATGCATCAATTTTTCAATAAATATAATGTTAATGCTTTATCAAAATGGCTTTTTTTTAGGAAATATTTGAAGTTGAGGTGCCTGAACAACGTAAAAAAGATTATGTAAAGATAGATAAGCATGTAGCAGAAAAAGAAAAAAGGCCATGGGTATAAATTTTAGGTTACGGTGCGTTGGCGAAATACTTAAATTAGAAATTTGAATCAGGATTGTATGGGAAGCCGTCCTTGACAAAAGGTTGTGTCCAAACATCATGAAATATAATGTTTAGACATCATGATGGTATGTCTATATGGAAAGCCGTCCTTGACAAAAGGTTGATATCCAGACATCATGTTGGATAATGTCTAGACATCATGTTTGATATATGTAGAATAATGTTTGTATATCATTCAACATGATGCTCAAGCATCAACCGACATGATGTCTTAGACATCATGTTACCAAATATAGTAAATTTTATTTTGTGTAACTCATAAATATACTATATTTGGTAATTTGATCAGCATGATGTCTAGACATCATGTCGTGATGTCGGTTGATGTCTTTCACATCATGTTAAATAATGTACAAACATCATCCTACATATATCAAACATGATGTCTAGACATCATGCTGATCAAATTACCAAATATAGTATATTTATGAATTACACAAAATAAAATTTACTATATTTGGTAACATGATGTACAAACATTATTCTACATATATTTGACATGATGCTCTAGACATTATCCAACATGATGTCTGGATATCAACCTTTTGTCAAGGATGGCTTTCCATAGGATTGTAATTAAATTTACAATTATAGTAATAAAAAACATTGTATAGTACAATTTGTGGTTCTCCAAAGTCTGGTTATATAACTTTGCTATAAATACAATCATTTCGAGTTAAAAAAAAAAAAACTGAAACAAAATCTAAAGTAGAAATAGGTGAGCATAAAAATTTGGCTCATCTTTATTGAAACAAATAATCATATGGATCGTCCTCTGAATGAAGACCAGGAAGACCAGGAAGACCAGTCCCAAGACTGATACAGGACCGGTCTTTGCTAGGACCGATCCAACCCTACTTACTGCCTATTAATTTGCTATCCCGGATGATTAATTTGCTTTTTTATCAATTGATTAACTATTTTTAAGTCATGACAACATTTTTATATATTTTTAATTAAAAAAAATATGAAAAAAAAAAATTTTTTTTGAATTGTTCACTGTGATTTGTAACATTATAATTTATTGTACATTTGAATTTTTTTTATTAAGCAATAAATTATATATATTCATTTAATAAGTAACTGATGCATTATATAATCCAGCAGATATCCTTGGTGTAGTTTCTTATCAAAATATTTAAAATAATATTAAAATAAAAGTCAAGAATAAGTATAAAAAGTTTTACATTATCAGTGAAAATGGTTTTATATTATTTTATTCAATTTATATCCCATAGTAGTAATTGGAAAAGTTATAAAAAAAAAGATTTATTTAAATTACAAACTAAGAATCTTGTAAAATATTTTACTAGTACTCTAACTCTAGTGTTTAAATAATTCTAAGTATAATAAAAAATGGTGAATATAAATAAATACATAAGCAAAAAAAAAGAATTATTTAAATTACAAACTAAGAAACCTGTAAAATATTTTACTACTCTAGCCTTAGTGTTTAAATAACTGAAATTTAAAAGAATAAAATAAAAACAATTTTTTTTGAATGTGCAATATCAAATGTCACTTTAAATTTTTTAAAAACAAACAATCATTAGTTAATTTTCATCCGCTTTAATATCTAAATAATTAAATATTAAATAAAATTAATTTCACATAAATAATTTGCAAGATTAATTCTTTTATACATCATAGTACATACCTAATGACCCAGATCCTTAATTATATAATTATTCACTTACTAACTTTTACACTAATAACTTGAATCTTCACTTTCAAAAATTTCATTCAACTTTTTATTAGTATTCTCATCTGTTTTAATAATTAAATAGATCAATTAATTTTCATATAAATAATTTGCAAGATTAATTTTTTTATATATCATAGTACATACCTAATGACCTCAAATCTTTAATCACACAATCATTCAAATCTGAATGACTTGTATGATATGCTTGTGAATCTTCACTTTCAAGAATTTCATTCAATTTTTTACTAGTAAAATCAAGTAAGCGACTTGTAAAACATGCTTTAGGATGAGATTTAGTAGCAAGATTGTTATGCCCAATTGGTGCATTTATAAATTCCATAATGTTGTTTTTTAATTCTTCATTAATTTGATCAATTTGATCATAATCAGGACTGAAAATCCAATTACAAATAACTTTTTTCACTTCTGAAGTAGATGGCCTTTTTAATGGATCTCCATTCCAACATTTTTTCATTAAATCTACATAACATTGTGGAGTATTTTCAATAATTTCAGGACGTTCACCTTTACAAATACTTAAACTAAGTTGAATATCATGTGCTCTATTATTAAATGGTGATATTCCAGATGTAAACTCCCACATAATCATGGAAAAACTATATATATCACTAGCTGGGGTATAAGATTTGCCTCTTAAAACTTCAGGAGCCATAAATGGTACAACACCATAAATATTATGCTCTTTCAAAAATGATTTTACAGGTTGACATAATCCTAAATCACTAATATAAATTTTATCCTCATTCTCATCATTATGATTTAAAATATTACCATCATGAAAATCACAATGAATAAGTTTTTTTTCATGTATCTCACTAAGTCCAGAAATAATTTCGTACAACATATATAATTTTTGATTCCAATTATTTTTGACTATTCTTGCTAAATTTTCTCTTAAATTACCTTTATTTGCATACTCCATTACAACCATATATTTTGAAGTATTTGGATCTTTTGTGAATCCATAAACATTTATAATTTCTCTTGAAGTTAAAACACTTGTATGATATTCCCACTATAAATAATAATAATAATTTATTAATATAGATAAATTTTAATTCAAATTAAAAATAGAAAATAATATACTATCATACTTCTTTTAAAAATTCATTTAAATTTTCATTTAAATTCTTGTGACATTTAAGAATTACTTCATCTCCATCTCTATTATTCTTTAACCAAATAGCTTTATATATAGTACCAAATCCTCCTTCAGTAAGATATTCAACATTTTTAAATTTGTTATA